ACAGGCACCCGCCACAACGCCCAGCTATTTTTTGGTTGCAGCCGTCATTGTTGTTCGGCGGATTCCAACCTGCCAGCTCAGGTGTATGTGGCTGGTGCCTTAGCCAGTTGAGCCATAGGCGCCGAGCCCTGAATTAGGTTTTTAAAGGAGTTAGTAAAAGGAAACTGTTTTTTGGAGAAAAAAAAAAAAAAAAAAAAAAAGGAAGAAAAGAGGAAGAAACCAAGACATTACCAGAAGCAATTATTTTTAAAATACTAACTTCTGTGTATTAAAGGGCATAATCAACAAGGTGAAAGGCAACTCACATAATGGGAGAAAATATTTGCAAATCATATTTCTGATAAGGGGTTATTTTCAAGGATATGTAATGAACGCCTATAAATCAACAATAAAAAAAAAACCCTGATTTTAAAAGAGGGAAAGGAAAAAACAGTATAAAATAAAAATGGGAAAAGGAATTGAAGTTTTTTCTCCCAGGAAGCTCATGAACAGCTGCTCAACATCTTGAGTGAGTAGGGAAAGGAAAGTCACAACTACAGGAAGAAGCCACCTCACACTTACTAGAATGGCTACTATCAGAAAGAAAAAAAACAGAAAATAACGAGTATTTAAAAGGATTTGGAGAAAAGGGGTCCCCTGTGCACTATTTGTGGGAATATAAAATGGTGCAGATGACACAGAAAACAGTATGGCAGTTCCTTAAAAAAAAACATAAAGTCACCCCAAGATCCAAAAATTCCTCATCTGGACATCTCCCAAAGTAAGTCAATGCAAGGTCTTGAAGAGATGTTTCAATGATGCTTATAAGAGCATTATTCCCTATGATGAAAAGGTGCAAGTGCCACAAATAACCACTGACAGAGGCATAAACAAACGTGATACGTACATAGCATACTTAAAAAGAGAATTCTGAGACCAGTTACAGCATGGATGAACCTCAAGGATACTATGCTAAGTGAAATAAGTCAGGCATAAAAAGGCCAATACTGGCTCAGCGCCTGTAGCTCAGCAGCTAGGGTGCCAGCCATGTACACTGGAGCTGGCAGGTTTGAATCCAGCCCAGGCCTGCCAAACAACAATGACAGCTACAATCAAAAAATAGCTGGGTGTTGTGGTGGATGCCTGTAGTCCCAGCTACTTGAGAGGCTGAGGCAAGAGAATCGCTTGAGCCCAAGACTTTGAGGTTGCTGTGAGCTGTGACACCACCGCACTCTACCCAGGGCAACAGCTTGAGACTCTGTCTCACAAAAAAAAAAAAAATGGCGGGCAAATACTGCACATGAGTCCACTTATATGAGACTCCTAGAGTGGTCAAATTCATAGAAAATAGAATAGTGGTATTTTCTTTCACTTTAGGGGCTACGGCCATACAGATAGCCAAGTGCGGCTCCTCAACCAAACACAAAATCACAGAACAAATCCCTTTACTTAAAGGATTTGGATTCAGACAACGGCCAAACTCAAGTATCCAGAGGCCACCTGTGTCCCCAAGGCAATAGGTTCCCCACCCCTGGGCTAGGAGGATGGAGGTATTGTTCAATAGGTGAAGAGTTTCAGTCTTGCAAGATCTAAGGACTTCTGGAGATTGCTTACACAGCAATGTTAATGTACTTTATGCTACTAAATTGTACACCTAAAACTTATTAAGATGGTAAATTTTAAATTATGTGTACTTTACCACAACTTTTTAAAAAAGTCCTTCTTCCACTCACCCCACTCTGGCTCATCCATCTTAGCTTTCTCATAGAGGTCTCTCCTGTTGATTGCAGCAAAAATCCACACGGCCATGGCCCACGCCCTCTCCTCCCCATTGAAATCAATCATCAGGGTGGCTAGATCCACGTGGTCTGCCTTCTCTGTCTGACCCCGCGGGAGTGAGATGCAGCCCTTCTGAGGAGGATAGTCTTCTAAGTGCATTTTGAATTTTTTAAAGTCTACATCCTCCAAGTCCTCCAGGTATCTGGCCAGTCTGCAACGGGTGCTTGCCATCTTCATCTGAGGCTGTTTTCAGGTCCACACTGGGATACTACGTAGTGAAAATAGCATATGCGTAAGAAAGTGTTTTTAAAACTCGCCACTTAAAGAGAACTAAATTATCAAAACCTAAAAAAAAACACTCAAAGGGGAAAAACATCACATGACTATAACAAGTTACCATCATTAATTCTGAAAAGTGAACCAAAAGCTTACCCGAAAGCTCTCCCGTTGGCTTGATCCAGGAGTGTGGCCTGAGCCATGGAAGAAAAGTTTCCCTATGGGAGGAAAATATATGTAAATAAACATGAAAATGTGATCATATTATAGTGTACAATGAGTAACCACTTCATGATGCACCCTTGACTGTCACCAAGAGAACTTGTATTCCATTGGTTACTGGGCTAGGACCCTGGACAAACATTTCACTCTTCCTCAACTTCAGGGTCCTAATCTGTAAAATGAAAGAGCAGAAGAGGCTGTTTTCAAGTTTCTTTCAACTGAAAGCTCTGGTTCCTTGGTTCTGTTTTGACTGGTGGGAAGATGGATGTGGGACATAAGGAAGAGGTCAGGAGATGAGATTCTATGGTGGTAACAGCATGGCAAGAACATGGCTAGGGAAAAAGGAGAGAGAACACAGCAGCATGCAGGAGGGGATGGCCTGCAACTGCCCTTCCTTCAATCCACAAACTGACAGAAGCTGAAATGAGATGGAGCTTGGGTTCTATAAGGGAGAATAATAAACACATACATATCCTTTTTTCCCTCTTTTTTTTATTTCACATTAATGTAAGGGCACAAACATAGGCACAATGTTTGCATTTGTTAGGAAAAGTATGTTGTTTATACATATCCTTAATGTCTCCTTACAAAATTCACAATCGTAATAATAAATAAAACTCAAATTTATTTTTTTATTTTTTTTGAGACAGTGTCTCAAGCTGTGATCATAGCTCATAGCAACCTCAAACTCTTGGGCTCAAGTGATTCTCTTGGCTCATCCTCCCAAGTAGCTGGGACTACACGCGCCTGCCACAATGTCCGGCTATTTTTGTTGGTGGTGGTGAAGTTGTCATTGTTGTTTTAGCTGGCCTGGGCCAGGTTTGAACCAGCCAGCCCTAGTGTATGTGGCCAGTGCTCTATCCACTGACCTACAGGCACCACTCAAAACTCAAATTTATTTAGAGGGTCTCATGGACTAGGCACTGATTGATGTGTTTTTTTTTTTCTCATCTAGTCTGCACAAAGCTATATGAGGCATGTAGATTCTTAGCCCTATTTTATGGATGTAGCAACTGTGTCTTAAGGAAAGTAAGAAACTTGTTCAGCAGTTCACAGCCCAAAAGGAACAGAGCCAGGATCTCTACCAGGGTATAAGACCATCTACCACTTAACTAGGTATTTCAGACTCACAAATAAATAAAGACAATAAAATAGATGGCTAAAAGACAAATACACTTTGCAGGCATCTATCACAATAATTTTTTTATTGTAGTATTTATCAACCGAGTTTTCCTACCTAGACTTTGAGTTCCACAAAAATTAGGAATCACATGCTATCTTTAGAGCTTCCATATCTCCTGGAGTTTGGATCGATAAACCAGTTAACTTTGTTTGAAACTGTTCCCTTCTCAGTGCCTTCACTTAATTCCATTTGGCAAAGCAACACATCAACCTAAAGCCATAGTAATGCTAAAGGAAAGGAAACAATCTAGAAAACAGCAACACTCTCCAAATGGGAATTTATGTGACTGCAGGTCGATAATTTGAGAAACTTCAAATTCACTTCCCTCTCCCTGTTCCACTTCCTCTCTACTCCCAGTCTCATGAGTCCCCCAGATCTGTGCCTTATATATCTTAGAGGAATCGGTCTCCAGACAGATCTGCCAGCCCTGCAGCCCCTCCCAGCTCCCACCACATCAATATTTCTACTCACATCAACACTCCCCCTTCTGTGCTCCTTTTATCCAACCCTAGCATGTGCCACTCTGATCTTTACCTCTTCCCACCCACATATATGCATACACTTGCAAATGTAAAGGCCCAAATAATGGGCTCAGCACCCGTAGCACAGTGGTTATGGTGCCAGCCACATACACCAAGGGTGCCGGGTTTGAACAGGGCCCGAGACAGCTGAACAACAACTGCAACAGAAAATAGCCAGGCGTTTAATCCCAGCTACTTGGGAGGCTGAGGCAAGAGAATCATTTAAGCCCAAAAGTTTGAGGTTTCTGTGAGCTGAGACACCATGGCACTCTACTGAGGGTGACACAGAGAGACTCTGTCTCAAAAAAAAAAAGGCCCAAGTAATGAAAAACATAAAAGAACATTTCACAAATATTGCTGAAGAGCATAAAAATTTCTTAGTCCATTAACGAAGACAAGTTCTGCCCCCTTGACACACCCTCCCCATTGCTCCCCTAATCCTTTCACCCACCCTGCTCCATGGAGCTGAACTCACCCAGACAACAGCCTCAGGAACAGCCAGAGAGGAAATGCTATGAATTTATAGTGGTCAAATCCCCAGCGGGGGCAGGAAGGATGTGGTCTCAGCACGAAGTGAACAAGCTTGCATCACAGGCAAAGGAGAGGAGACTAATGGTTACTCACAAAGCTGGATTTTCCAGACAGAATCAATAGTATTCTCAAAACTAAGCTGGGGTTTTGTAGCTGAATTCACCTTGCATCTCCTCTGAGACCGCCTATAGTAGCAACAGGGAAGGTCAGGAATGTGTAGTGGGGGGTGAAATTGGTGGTGCTCAATCTACATTCCCTCTGGCACTCGTAGCAGCCCTGTTAGTGCTATGACTGCCCCAGTGACAGTGAGAGAAGTGAAAGTAAGGATATGCCTGTGGTGGTGAGTAAAGAATTCAGAGCACAGCCTGGCAGGTGCAGTGGCTCACACCTATAATCCTAACACTCTGGGAGGCTGAAGCGGTGGGTTACTTGACCTCGTGAGTTCGAGACCAGCCTGAGGAAAAAGCAAGACCCCCTGTTTCAACTAAAAATAGAAAAATTGAGGCAAGAGGATCATTTGAGCCCAAGAGTTGGAGATTGCTGTGAGCTATGACACTAGGGCTTTCTACCCAGGGCGACAGCTTGAGACTCTGTCTCCAAAAAAAAAAGGAAAGAATCAGAAAGGATCCAGGGCACTGCCTGGCCTTCACCCCCCCCCCCAGGTTACACACTCTTCCCCTCACCTAGAGGGAGCTGACAGGCACTGTAAGTTCTCCCCACCAAGTAGTATTTTTTAAAGCACAAATTCCACTCCCTGACCTATTGGCTCACCTGTTTGACTAACATTTATGGAGCAGCTTGTATGTACCAGGCATGAACACAAAGCGTTACCCTTTAGGAGTTAGAGGAGGGACAAACACACAGGCCTGCTTTTGCAGTTCTGCATGGTGACTACAGGATAGCTGCCTGATGAAGGCTTGACTTCAGCAGAGCTTGGCCAGTGACAGGCATTTTTTCAGCCTCCTGGATGAGTGCATGAACCCTGAAGCAGGAAGGACGAGCATCCAAGTTCAGGGGAAGGGTGTCGCTAAGTGATTCAGTATCTCTGTGCCTCCGTTTTCTTATCTGCAAGATGGGGACTATCATAAAGGGTTGTCAGAAGGACTGAGTGAATAGATAAACGTGAGGCCTTTTGGAACAGAGACTGGTACAAGGAAGCCAGTATCATCGGTTCCTACTGCTGCTGCTGTTGCTATAGATTTATGGGCAGATGCCTCCAAGCAATGAAAGAGAGGGATCTACTCCTACTGAAGTAAGAGCATGATAGCAAACCTGAGTTTCAGTGAGCCAAGTGCTGTACACTGTTAGGGGCTGAGCCAGGAGCAGCAAGGACTTCAGATGATAAAGCTAAGAGAGACGAGATCAAACATGGTCGAAAAGAAAGGTGTTCATTAGCTGAACAAGAATTTTTCTTTGCTTGTTTAGCCAGGTGACTTAAGGTATAATTTATATTCAGTAAAAATTCACACTTTTATAAAAACAGACACATAGATCACTAGAACAAAATAAAGCCCAGAAATAAACCCAAACATGTACAGTCAACTAATTTTTGAGAAGGCCACCAAGAAGACACAGGGGGAAAGGACAGGCTCTTCAGTAAATGATGTTGGGAGAACTGGCTTTCTACATGCAAAAGAATAAGACAGAACCCTTTTCGTATACCACATACCAAAAAACTCAAAACCGAATAAAACCTAAACCTAAGACCTGGACTGTAAAACTCGGAAGAAAACAAAGTGAAAAACTCTTTGATATTGGCTTTGGCAAGGATTTTTTTTTTTTATACATCCTTAAAAGCCCAGCAATGCATTAGACTTTTATTTTCTACATTATCTATTTCTGTATTGATTCTTTTCTTCCAACAATGTATAATTTTGTGCTTTAAAAAGGAAAGAAAGGGGGTGTTATTGAGCACAGCTGTCAAGTGGCATGATGTAGGTTGACTCAAAATAGAATGAAACTGACAAGGAGTCTCTTCCTGCTCAAGTGCCTTCTCTTTTTTAGTTTATTTATTTTTTGAGACAGTCTCACTATGTTGCCCTAGGTACAGTGCCATGGTGTCACAGTTCACGGCAACCTCCAACTTTTGGGTTTAAGCGATTCTCTTGCATCAACCTTCCAAGTAGCTGGGACTACAGGCGCCTGCCACAACACCTGGCTATTTTTTGGTTGTAGTTGTCATTGTTTGCCAGGCCCAGGCTGGATTGGAACTGCCAGCTCTGGTGTATGTGGCTGACGCCTTAGCCATTTGACCTATGGGTGCCAAGCCAGGGGATGAAGATTTCTGTTGGAGATGAGTTTTACTTTTATTCTATGATGGTCCAAGAAGATACAGGGAATAATTTCTATTCTTTTAAATTTGTTGATGTTTGGTTTGATCAATATGACATGATTGATTTTGGAGGACAATCCATGGGCTAACAAGAAGAATGTATACTCAGTTGTATTAGGATGAAATGTTCTGGTTAATGTCTGTTAATATCTTTTAACCCCATTGGTAATGTTTTAGTCCATTGCTTCTTGGTTTAGTTTCTATTTGGAGGATCTATCCAGTTCTGTCAGAGGGGTGTTGAAATCCTCAGATAGTATGGTGTTTTAGGGGTTCATTTTATATATCTGGGAGCATTTAAGTTGGGTGCATTGATGTTTAAGATTAAAATGTCTTATTGTATTGTTCCCTTGACCACGATATAGTATCCATCTTTGTCTTTCTTTACTTTTGTTGGCTTAAATATAATTGTATCTGTAAATAAGATTG